TTTCCACTTCATGGCTGGGGAACCGAGGCACAGATACGCTGAGAGTAATTGTCCAGGGTCACACAGCTCCCGAATGGTTTAGCAGGGATTGCTGTGTGCACGCCTGGCCTCATGACTCCACGCGGTGTGGGCCTCTCCAGTACTGAGGCGGCAATTATAGCTCAGGGTGAACATTGAGGAGTTTCTTCTCCTCTCTTCAAGTGAATCTGAGCATGTTGGGGTCTGGAGAAACGGAATTGTTTACTTTTAGCTGCCTATTCATTGAGCCGCACAAAGAGGCGGCTTCCATGTTTGCTTAGGCCCAGTGGTGACGCTGGGCGCACACCAGCAACAGCTTTGATCTTAGAAAATTTACTATCTGTGTGCCTTAGGGAGCACAAACAAACTGTGGGCTGCTGAGGTTTAGTGCTTATTATTTCCGCTGGTTCCTCAAGTTTGCACACACAGAGAGAAGCATCATGGTTGGAGTCTAAGGGCCATTGGCAGCAGAGGGGGTTGTGCAACATGAGTTAGGAGCCAACCCAGAGACTGCCACCCATGGAGGTCTGTGGGCATGAAAACTGCATGGCCACCTGGGTGTCGTGGACAGCGTGACTTGAAAAACAGAGCAAAACTAAACAAAAGTGCACTTGAATGCAAAGGGCCTCAATACGTTCTACAGTCTTGGCTCTTTAGTACATGGCTGTTACCAATTGTCTCAGCCTGTTTGCTGCTGCTGTAACTGAATGCCATACACTGGGTCATTTATAAAGGACTCAGGTTTATTTGGCTCATGGTTTCGGGGGACTGGAGGTCCAAGAGCAAGGCGCCACTATCCGCTCAGCCACTGGTGAGGACCTTCTTGTTGCCCGGTAACATTGGAGGATGACAGGTGCGCAGGTGCACCACCTCGGGTCTCTCTTCCTTCTCTTATAAAGTGATTCATGTAGAAGGGGCGGAGGGAGAGGGAGGGAGGGAGGAAGAGAGAGGGAGAAAGGGAGGGAATAGGAAAGGAGAGACAAAAAGAAAGATAAAACCGCTAGTGCCATGGTTGGGGCCCCCGTGTCATGCCTGATCCAACCCTAACTGCATCCCCACAGCATCCTCCACTAAATACCGTGAGTGGAGAATTGGTGGGAACCACTCGGACCAAAGCCCTAGTAGAGTTCTTGCTTGATGTGCATCACTGCGCACTGAGCACCCGCTAAGTCAAGCATGGTCAAGTTTTCACTGCCACGTTTTTGATAAGACTTATTTACTTGAAAGGCACAATGATAGACACAGAGAGATCTTCCATCTGCTGGTTCACTCCCTTAAATGGCAGCATCAGCTGGGGCTGGGCCAGGCCAAAGCCGGGAGACAGGAACTCCATCCAGATCGCCCACATAGGTGGCAGGGGCTAAAGCCCTTGGGGGCATCTTCTGCTGCCTTACCTATTAGCAGGGAGCTGGATCAGAAGCAGAGCAACCAGGATTTGAACTGGGTTCTGATATGAGATGCCAGAATTGCAGGTGGTGGGTTAACCCGCTGTGCCATAATGCCAGCCTACGGCCACTTCTCAATCTACCCTCGGGAGTGTGTGTGTGTGTGTGTGTATTTGTAGCTGCCTGCTCCTTTCTTTCCTAGGATATTTCTGTTTTGGGATTGTCCTTGTGTTGGAGTTATATGTGACCCCAGAATTCACTGGATCTAGCATCTTTATTTCACACTAAAAAACATGAGAAACTGCAATACTTGTGTAATGTGTGTGGTCCGCAGTTAGTGCCAAATGTGCTTGTGGTTTTTGTTTGGATAAGTGGCTTGCTCAGCGTCACATAGGTAAAGTGGCAGGTTTGGACGTCAGGACCCCTGCTGTGGTATTCTTGTTACTACACCGGAATACGCTGGGATGGCGTGGAGAGTGTCTCAGCTCCCTGTGCCTTCTGAGGAGCTGTTTGGTGGAAGTGCCCAGCCAGCTTGCCATCAGTGTGATCCCCACGGTTGGAGCAGGGTCAGTGGCTGCCTGCCGCAGACCTGGGGCCAGAACGGTATCTCCTCACTCGCACTGTGGCCTTTGCTGCTGCACCACGCTGCCACACGTCCTCTGGGAACTGTGGCTGGGGCGTGCATCACAGCCGACTTGACTCAGCCATGGCAGACGCGACCCTTCTTGGCTCTCTGAGGGCCGGTCAGTCCCTGTGTGCTTTGCTGAAACAAACAGGTCCCTCCCTATCGCCAGACTTGCCTGGCCTCTGAAGCTGAGTAGCAGTGTTTCGTGCTGGGACGGACACAGGGCTTGACACCAGGGTATTTCTCTCCGTAAAAGGGTGTTCTGTTAGGACACAGGCACACTTGTTGATCGGGCCGTCTGTAGGGGTCGCGTGTATAGGGAGCCTGAGAAGGCTGTGTTGCTGTTGTACTTGGTTCATTGCACAGGCTCCTCATCTTACACGTTAGGTAGCACTGTGAGAGGCTAAGACGCCCCCCTCCCAGGTAAGACGCCTGCAGCCTGCAGCCTGCATTGGGTTGCTGGGTTTCCACGCCTGGCGGTGGGCGAGACTCCAGCTTCCTGCTGATGCAGATCCTGGGAGGCAGCGGTGGTGGTTCCGGTGGTTGGGTTCTGTGCATCCACGTGGCAGCCGTGGACTGATCTCCGGCTCCTGGCTTCTGCCTGACCTCATCTCGGCTGTTGAGGCTGCCTGAGGAGTAAACCACTGCCTCTAAAAAAAGGGGGGGAGGGGAGAAAGGAGATGCCATTCAGAGGAGGAGGGGCTGATGTGCTCGGGGATCCTGGGGGTTAAGGGGTCTCCCAAACCATCCTTTAGCAGCTGCCCTTTGCGTTTGCCAGTCTTGTCTGGGCAGCACCGTGTGTGCCCCAGGATGGAGCTTCCCCGCTCACTGGGAGCAATGATGTCACCATTCTGATGGAGAGAGGCAAGGGAAGGGGTGCAGTGGGTGCATTTCTCCACCCTTTTCTGTCTAGCAGGAAGCACAGTTGCCCTTGGTATTTATGGGGTATGGGTGCTGGGGCCCCATTTGGATACCGAGGTCCACGGATATTCAAATCCCTTCTATAAATGGCCTAGTACTTGCATAGAACTTGTGCACAACATTCCTGTATACATTTTTTTTTAAAGATTTATTTATTTATATGAAAGTCAGAGTTACACAGAGAGAGGAGAGGCAGAGAGAGAGAGAGAGAGGTTTTCCATCTGATGATTCACTCCCCAGCTGGCCGCAACGGCCAGAGCAGTGCCAGTCTGAAGCCAGGAGCCTCCTCCGGGTCTCCCATGTGGCTACAGGGGTCCAAGGACTTGGACCATCTCTACTGCTTTCTCAGGCCACAGCAGAGAGCTGGATTGGAAGTGAAGCAGGCAGGTCTTGAACTGGTGCCCGTATGGGATGCCGGCGCTTCAGGCTAGGGTGTTAATCCACTGCACCACATCGCTGGCCCCTTTCTGTATACTTTACATTATCTATAGGTGGGGCCACCGTCTGCAGTGCTGGCATCCCATATGGGCACCGGTTCAAGTCCCGGCTGCTCCTCTCCCAATCCAGCTGTCTGCTGTGGCCTAGGAAGCAGTAGAAGATGGCCCAAGTGCTTGGGCCCCTGTACCCACGTGGGAGACCCAGAGGAAGCTCCTGGCTCCTGGCTTCAGATTGATGCAGCTCTGGCCATTGTGGCCAACTGGGGAGTGAGCCATCTGATGGAAGACCTCTCCTTCTCTCTCTCTCTCTGTCTCTGCCTCTGCCTCTGCCTCTCTGTAATTCTGCCTTTCAAGTAAATAAATCTTTTAAAAAATTATAGGTTACTTTTTAAAAAATATCTGTTTATTTGAAAGGGAAAATGACAGAGAGAGGGAGGAAGAGAGAGAGAGAGATCTTCTACTTGCCCATTCACTCCCCACAGGCTACAACAGCCAGGGCTGGGCCAGGCAGAAGTCAGGAACCAGGAACTTCATCGGGGTCTCCCATGTGGGTGGCAGGAACCCAAGCACTTGAGCTGTCATCCAGTGCCTCGCAGGCGCACTAGCAGGAAGCTGGATTGGAAGCAGAGGTGGCCTCCATACCAGCCACTCTGATAAGGGAGGCCAAGCAGCCGCTCACTGTGCTGTAGTGCAATGCCCACCCCACATAGGTTACTTTTAATATCCACTGCCGTGTAAAGTGTGGCTTTACTGCTTAGGGAGTCATGGCAAGGCAAAAATAATAATAATAATAATAATAAGTCTGTACGTGTTCAATGCAGATAGTCAGTTTTCTTAGTATTTCCAGTCTACATTTGGCTGAATCCATGGGTGTGGAAGACCCAGATGCCGGGGCTGAGTGTATTAATTGAGTTTCGTCTGTGAGGAGAGGAGAGAAGAGGAGAGGGGAGGGGAGGGGAGGGGGGGAGGGGAGGGGAGGAAAGCGTCCTAGCTCTTGGCCTAGTGCTGTGTGAGGTTAGTACTTGTGTTGCTGATGTTTGGACAGGGCGCTGCTCTTGTGGAATCCTGGGGATGGGGTGACGTTTGAGGAGTCAGCCCCTCATTTCTCTGTCCTCCGGTAGAATGGACCCCAGTTGCGGAAGAATTCAGGAAGCTAACTGTCTTCAAGTGTCCAGCTGCTTCCACGTTCCCCTCTCGTCCCTCACTCTATCATCACACAGCTTAGTGATCAGAAGGCTGATGGCAGGGCCGGTGTGGAGTAGTAGCAGGTTAGGCTGTCAGCTGCAAACTTGGCATACCAAATAGGCGCCAGTTCAAGTCTCGGCTGCTCCACTTCCAGTCCAGCTCCCTGCTAATGTGCCTGGGAAAGTAGTGGAAGATGGCCCTAGTCCTTGGACCCCTGTACCCACATGGGAGACCTGGAAGAAGCTTCTGGCTTTGGCCTGGCCCAGCCCTGGCTGTTGCGGTCATCTGTGGAGTGAACCAGGGATTGGAAGATCTCTCTCTCCCTCTGTCTCTCTCTCTCTCCTTTTGTCTCTACATTTCTGCCTTTCAAATAAATAAATCAATCTTAAAAGACAAGAAAGAAGAAGGCTATTTGTGTCTGTCTTTCAGGTCCAACTTCAAGCTTGTGGCTGTTAACTCAAAGCTCTACGCCGTCGGCGGGCAGGCCGTGTCTAACGTTGAGTGTTACAATCCCGAGCAGGACGCCTGGAATTTTGTGGCACCCTTACCGAATCCGCTGGCTGAGTTTTCTGCGTGCGAATGCAAGGGGAAGATTTATGTCATTGGAGGCTATACCACCAGAGGTAAGCGAAGGACCTGCGTGGGTCTACTTCCGTGTTCACGGGGGCGGCCTGGGGCGGGCGGAAGCTCCCAGCGTGTGTGTGTGCGACTCCATGCTTGAAATACTGAATATTTCCGCATCTGTGTGGGTGGGGTGTTTGGGATGGGAGGGGTCTCTGATGACTTTGTATGAACGTGGAAGTTGAACAAGGTAGGGGAGCTATGAAGGAAGCGCCTGTGTTCTTTCTGCTTCCGAAGCACAGCCTTGTCGTGAGCCGCCTGGTGGTGTGGCTGGGCCTGGTCCGTGGGGACTGCTTTGCCCTCTCTGCTGCTCTCTGAGGCTGGGCACTCTTGGGTGGGGTGTGTCCTTGGAGCAGCTGGGAACACAGCCTCTGTCCCCTCCGAGCTGGAGGTCTCGCTGTCATTCCTCCCTGTGTGAGTGCCAGCGCGTCCGAGGCGGGGAGAGCGCTGTTGACACAGCTCCAGGAGGATTCTGGGCCGACCGGCGATGGGGGGGTGCATGTGCTGGGTATGAACCTGTGCACGTGTGTTTGTCGCTTGTGAGGGTCGGCAGTTTGTGGTCGAGAATTTGGGAATAGACAGTCTCTCTCCAGCATGCTTTATACTGCTGTTCTGGGGACAGAGAGGTCTCACGCCCTGGTGTCGGCAGGCAGTGTGGTGTGGCAGGAAGGATGACGCCAGGCCTTCCCCTTCCTGTCCACCCCTCACCCTCACAGCAGCCACTTCCGGGTTGCCCCTGGGCCAGGCGCATTTCTTTGTGCATTTGGTTTGTCTGACCCTAGAGAGCCTAGGCCTTGTAGAAAAGGTATAGCCGCACACTAGGGACTTTGGCCCCGTTAAGGGAGTGCAGTCACCGCTGAGTCTGGCAGTGAAGTTACCCTGCACCCCTTTGTGGTGCAACATGTGCAGGATGGAGCCCTCCCACCCTGCTAACGACAGCCGTGGCAGACCCCCTTGCAGACTGTGAGCGACCCCTACGCGCGCAGGGCAGGAATCCAGCACTAGGAGTGCTCTCACTGGTGATAAAGTTCTCAGCACGTCCAGGTGTGTCTGGTTGGGGGATTTATGCTGGAAGAAATCAGATGGGAAGTATTTCATGAACCTCTGATTTACTCTTTCTGTGAATGTGACAGCAGAAGATTAAAAAAAAAAAAGATTTATTTATCTGAAAGAGTTACAGATAGAGAGGGAGAGACGGAAAGATCTTCCATCTGCTGGTTCACTCCCCAGATGGCCAGGGCTAGGCCAGGTCAAAGCCAGGGGCTTCTTCCAGCTCTTCCATGTGGGTGGCAGGGGCCCAAACACTTGGATCGTCTTCTGCTGCTTTTCCCAGGCCAGGAGGAGGGAGCTGGAATCAAAGTGGAGTAGCCAGGACCCAGACATGCGGCAGCTTAACCTGCTGCACCACAGGGCTGGCCATCAGCAGATTTTTTTTTTTAAAGATTTATTTATGTATTTGAAAGTCAGAGTTACATAGAGAGGAGAGACACAGAGAGAGAGAGATACCTTCCATCTGCTGGTTCACTCCCTGAATGGCCACAATGGCCAGAGCTGGGCTGATTTGGAGCCAGGAGCTTCTTCCAGGTCTCCCATGTGGGTGCAGGGGCCCAAGCACTTAGGCCATCTTCTGCTGTCCCAGGCCATAGCAGAGAGCTGGATCGGAAGTAGAGCAGCCGGGACTCGAACTGGTGCCTGTGTGATGCTGACACTGCAAGCAGTGGCTTTACCCACTATGCCACAGTGCCGGCAGCCAGCAGATTCCTGATGCCTGCCTCTAGACAGTAGATTTGCAGGGGATAGTGGTGGGCCATGTGTCTGTCTCCTTCCTGTGTGGCTGCCACATGGCTGAGTGTGAGCTTGGTGGCTAACAAAGACTGTGTTTTCTCACAGTTCTGGGACCTACGGTTGGAAATCAAGGCATCAGCAAGGCCATGCTCCTTGGGAAGGTTCCAGGGAGAGTCCCCGCTGGCCTCCTGCACCTTCACACAGCCAGGCTCTGCTTCTGTCTTCCTGTGTGGCTGTCATCGTCTGGCCCTTGTAAAGACACCTGTCATTGGAACTAGGGCCCACCTGAGTAGCCCAGGGTGATCTCATGTCAAGATCCTCAACTGCTGTGTGCAGAGACACTTTTTCCAACTCAGGTCTTAGTCACAGGTTCCAGGGATCAGGAGGTGGATGACATTTTGGGGTCACCAATCAGCTGGGGTATATCCAGAGAGACAGAGACAGAGTGCCTGAACGTGTTTTACCAGGGAGTGGGGTGGTGGGGAAGAAGAGGACTCCCCCATCTGCTAGTTCACGTCCCACGTGCCGACCCCAAGCTGCATGCTGGGAGTTCAATCCAGACCTGCCACACGCCTGGCAGGGAACCTAGTACTTGAGCCATTAGCACTACTTCCCGGGGTGTGCTTTAGCAGAGCTGGGGAATTGAACCCAGGTACTCGGATGTGGGGCACTGCCAGACATCGTAGCGTCTTACCCACTAGGCAGACACCTGCCTCCACGTGCTTTATTTTGCTCCGTGTTTTCTTCACTCGTGGGGTATTCCCAGTGCCCCATGTGAGTTCCTGTACACTGACAACACTCGCCAGCTTTTTCTTTACAAATGAGTGAAAAAAATATGAGACTTATAGTCGTTTCTTGTACTTCAACATTGGAGTTCTGGTTACAAGGATCACTTTTCTGTGCTTAGACACAGCTGTAGCAAGCCCAGTTCCCACACCTGTCGCTCTCGTTCTTTCTTGTTCTCTTTCTCTGTTTTGTCCCAGGTAAGTCAGTGCTCACTTCTGAACATTTCTCAGAATTCTGATTCCTCCCTAGACTGAGTGACACTTGGTGCATCCTGTGACTTGGTGTCATCACCCTTGTCCCCCGACACCCCCTCCCCATGGTGCTCTTGAGGGCTGACATCATCACACTTGACCCCCACCGAGGGCTGACATCATCACACTGTGCCCCCCACCGAGGGCTAACATCATCACACTGTGCCCCCCCGCTGAGGGCTGACATCATCACACTGTGACCCCCACTGAGGGCTGACATCATCACACTGTGCCCCTCCCCCGAGGGCTGACATCATCACACTGTTCCCCCCCACACTGAGGTCTTGAGGTCTGACATCATCACACTGTCCTCCCACATTGCTGAGGGCTGACATCATCACACTGTGTCCTCCCACATTGCTGAGGGCTGACATCATCACACTGTGTCTTCCTACATTGCTGAGGTCTGACAATATCACACTGTGTCCCCCTGACATTGCAGAGGGCTGACATCATCACACTGTGTCCCCCCCACTGAGCACTGACATCATCACACTGTGTCCCCCTGACATTGCAGAGGTCTGACATCACACGGTGCCCCCACCCCGAGGGCTGACTTCTCACATCTGTCCCCCGACGTCCCCCCAGCCCTGCTGAGTTCTCCCTGTAACCCGAGGTCTACTCCACTGGTAGATTTCCCAGCCGGCGTTTACCCTTGCTGAGCAAATACTCTAGATTTGACCTGGAGAGCCCTTGTGTGTTCCGTAGCCGCGCAAGCCACCCCGGTGTCCCTTCCTCACTCAGGCCACCCACTGTCATTTCTCTCCTGGATTCCCTGTGCCAAATCCATGCAGGGGTGGCCAGTGCCACGGACGGAGCGGTGTTTGCGGAAGGGGTCGAGAGCTCATTTCCTGAGGCTCTGCGACAGGGCAGTGGCTTGTGCTCTGCTCAGCTCTTCCTGCACTTCCTAACTTATTTATTCTGAAATAAGTCGTCATAACTGTTACCCCACCCCCCACAAAAATCCATAAAGGTGGATTCCTGGCCTTCTGACTTCCTATGCTGGTGAGACTTTTATAATTCAGGAAATAATACTTTATGGTTTCTGTGATGGCTGTTTGATTATTTTAATTCTTTGCCAGCACTAAAGAATTAGAGAGACATTCAGGGGCTGGTGCCGTGTCGTGTCGTAGAAGCTCCTGGCTCCTGGCTTCAGATTGGCCCAGCTCTGACTGTTGCAGCCCTTTGGGAAGTGAACCAAAGGATGCAGGACCTTTCTTTCTGTCTCTCCCTCTCTCTGACCTGTAACTCTGCCTCTCAAATAAATAAATAAATAGATACATCTTAAAAAAAATAGAAAAGACATTCAGTAGAAAGTAGTAGTAGCTGTAAAGGGGAGAAAAGTGATTGTTCAAACTTCGAACCGATGGTGAGTGTAAAGCCTAGACGATTGTCCGTCCCACCATCTCAAACCACCTTGTCAGGGTCTGAGCTTTTGTTGAGGGAGGAGAGAAAACATTTAGAGAGACCTGGGGAGACCTAGAAGTACCCTCTGGACGCCTCCCTGGAATGAGCCCTTTACTCTGTGGGCAGAGGGTCAGGTGCAGAGGGGCACTCTGATAGATGAGTACCCAGACTCCCTGGGGCTGTCTACCAGAGTGAGTGTGACCGCAGCAGTGGCATTTAAGAAACAGAGCTAGTGTGGATAGAAACCTGCAAGACAGTTTTGTCAAAGCTGCAACAGCTGGGAGACTCGTGCAGGCACAGGGCCAGCGGCACGCCCAGGACTTGGCTTCTCTCTGTGCCCTCCTAAGGAGGTACTCGAGTCCTGACCACATATGGCTGTGGAGTGCTCTAGGCGCTGCCAGCTCTGTGTATGGGTGGGTGTGGGGGGTTCTGTCTCCGGAGGAAGGGCTAGGGGAGGAGCTGAGCCCTAGACGAGGAGCGCGGTGTCCTGGCAGCTTCCACAGCAGGCAGAACACCGCACACCCGGCTCGTGCCAGTTCTCAAGCCAAGCCGTCTCCTCCACTGATAGGTGTGGTTGTTGGTTTAAACAGAAATGACAAAACACAAGCTTCTTTTTTTCTGATAATTTGTGACATTTTTTTCCCCTATCGAGGCTAAAATATTCCAGTTATTCTTTCATGGAGGAGAAAAGGGAACAAAATAATTTAAAAGAAGAAAAGCCAAGCTAGATATTATATAATTTGCTAACATTTTTCTTTCTTAAACAAAGATTTATTCATTTGAAAGGCAGAGAGAGATCTCCCACCTGCTGGTTCACTCCCTGAATGGCTGCAACAGCATGGGCTGCTGGGCCAGCAGCCTGGAGCTTCTACCCGGCCTTCCTCGGGCGTGCAGGGGCCCATCTGGCCCATCTTCCTGTGCTTTCCCAGGTGCATTAGCAGGCAGCTTGATGGGAAGTGGAGCAGCCAGGACCTGAATTGGCACCACAAGCATTTTTCAAAAAAGAGAGAGCATGCAACTTTTTTTCCTTGAAGAAAATAACAATTAAAAGTAAGGTCAGGGCCGGCGCCGTGGCTCACTAGGCTAATCCTCCGCCTTGCGGCGCCGGCACACCGGGTTCTAGTCCCAGTCGGGGCGCCGGATTCTGTCCCGGTTGCCCCTCTTCCAGGCCAGCTCTCTGCTGTGGCCAGGGAGTGCAGTGGAGGATGGCCCAGGTGCTTGGGCCCTGCACCCCATGGGAGACCAGGAGAAGCACCTGGCTCCTGGCTCCTGCCATCGGATCAGCGCGGTGCGCCGGCCGCAGCATGCCGGCTGCGGGTGCCATTGGAGGGTGAACCAACGGCAAAAGGAACACCTTTCTCTCTCTCTCTCACTGTCCACTCTGCCTGTCCAAAAAAAAAAAAAAAAAAAAAAAAAAAGTGAGGTCAGAGCATCCACCCCTGTAGTGTTTGCTTTTTATCCCCACAGGAGCCAGCTGCCTCTTGTTCGGGTTGGGGGGGGGGGGTTGCCCTCCGTGTCTCGCCTGTGTCCCGGCTGCAATATAGCAGTGCCAGGCGAGTCTCGGGCCTGGCAGCAGGCAGGCGTGAGGCTCGTTTCTCCGGATGTGAGCCGTGGTGCGCCCAGGCCTTGGTGCCTGCCGGGGGTGCTGGGCTGTCACTGATTGTGCGCTGAAGTCCTCCCTCTCCTCACGCTGACCTGGTGCTCCGAGGTGTGCAGGCGCAGGTGCTGGGGATGAGCGCCTGCGCCCACGTCACAGTGGCTCATTTCCCCGGCCTTAGCCACTCCAGCCCGGTCCCGGAGAGGGGGCGCACGGCAGGGGGAGGTGGCTGAGGATGAATCCACAGGGGTCTCCCGCACGCTGCTTCTGCAGCCCCCACTTTTCCCGGGCTGCTGTGTGTGTCCGCGGCCGCGGCCACCGGGGGGCCGCGCGCGTCAGCCTCTGCCGCTCTCTCTCTCTGCAGACCGGAACATGAACATTCTGCAATACTGCCCCTCGGCCGACGTCTGGACGCTGTTCGAGACGTGCGACGTCCACATCCGCAAGCAGCAGATGGTGTCGGTGGAGGAGACCATCTACATCGTGGGGGGCTGCCTGCACGAGCTGGGGCCCACCCGCAGGGGCAGCCAGAGCGAGGACATGCTCACCGTGCAGTCCTACAACACCGTCAGCCGCCAGTGGCTCTACCTCAAGGAGAACACGTCCAAGTCGGGCCTGAACCTGACGTGCGCGCTGCACAACGACGGCATCTACATCATGAGCAGAGACGTGACCCTGTCCACCAGCCTGGAGCACCGGGTCTTCCTCAAGTACAACATCTTCGCCGACAGCTGGGAGGCCTTCCGCCGCTTCCCGGCCTTTGGCCACAACCTGCTGGTCTCCTCGCTTTACCTGCCCAACAAGGCAGAAGCCTGAGCCAGCCGGTGCCAGGAGGGGGCCTGGCTGAGACCCAGACGATGGGGTGTCCGTGTTTTAAAGGGGAGCTGTAGGCCGCGTGTATCCAGTTCCAGCTGTACATAAGCTTACTTGAACTAATTACTTGAAAACGCGAGGGAAAAAAAGAGACCATCGTTATTTTTTAAATTATTGGTTCTTAAATGATGGGAGCAAATCCATGATAATGTGTTCATCCAGACGTGATCCTCTCGGGCCAATCACTGACGAGCGGATCCGCTGAGTGCGTGGGTCAAGGGCCAAAGGCAGTGATGGACGTGAGTGCTCAAGGCGATTGGAAAATCCGCTTCGTCCAGGTCACTTGAAATACCTTCTGTCCCTTTCACATTTCAGATTTCCTTTGTGGTGGGAGTTCGCTCCACCAGCCTCCCTTTGCCACTGCCATTCTGTGTCCCCGGCCCCTGTCACAGCCGTGTGAGCTTCTAGAGTGTTTACAACAGGGTTCTGTGTGCAGATAGTTGACCTGCCTGTGGCTTTCCAGGAAACTCACACCAAGGAACCCCTATGACCCCTTCCCGGCAATCAGTCCCCCCAGAATTCCCATAGAAGCAGTCTCCACTGTGTCCCCCCCCCCCTTTTTTTTTCCATTGTGAATGCTCAGACATAAACACACGGAAGTTCTTCTGCCCTTGTGAGGCAGGTTGAACATTTATGGGGTCACAGGAGCCAGGCGGCCAGTATTGTTTAAAAGAGGATTTGTGGGAAGGGATGGAAATTAGCATCCATTTCAAAAATGGAGTCACAAATTTACATAGGATGGGAACACCAGATGAGAAATTTTTTTTCCCGTAAGAGTTACTTTCATTGAATGTATTGGACTTAGTTGTTAAGACCGAAAACCCAACTTTATCACGTTGATGTCTGGCAGCTGTCTGATTTAATCTGAGCTTTTCATGTCTGTTTTGCTGTGTGTGCTAAGGTGAGGATGGCAGAGAACATTTGTGCTGGAGAGAGGGGCAGTGGCTCGGAGAGAAGGGGACAGCCACCGATGGCATTCCTGAAATCGGCTAAGCGCTTCACTTGCCCTGGGTGTTGGTGTGATAAGAGCTCGGCTTAGAGTTGGCAGTGAGTGAATGCTTCCGCCGCAGGGCAGCTTTCCTTAGGATCCCGTTGCTCCGCCCTGGGGAGATGTTCCTGTGATTGCAAGGCACCCTCTGCAGTCCTCTGGCATTTTGCAGCAGAACCAGGGAACCCGTGGCCTGGAGACCCTCTTTCTGCACAAGTGGCAGGCAGACTCACGTCCCTGACAGCGAGCGAGCGTCGCTCTGGGAAGTCCCAGCAGCTTGGTGGGCGGCTCCAGCTGTCACCCTGCAGGGAGCTGGCCACGTCTGCTGAGCTGTCTCCCCTGTCACAGGGCTGGCTACAGGGTTTCTTTACACCGTGGCCTCTATAAATGTAAAACAAGGGTCTAGATACAGAACTCCTATTTGCACAACTTTCCAGGAACACTTCTGTTAGGTAAAATGAGGCAAATCTGCATTTTAGACATGGATACAGGTCTTTGTATCCTCTCATCAAATATTCTTCTCCACAGTCCACTCTGAATGTTATTCAAGTGTTTCTAAGCCATATTCATTTCTTTTCAAATGTTAAGCTTTAAAAAAAAAAAAAAAAAAAAACCTGAAATCTTCCTGGGCATGGTACTTAACTAATAGGTTTAACTTATAATCATTGTAGAATTGAATTTCCAGTCACCTGTTTCATTACATATATTTCGAAACCTAATTTATTTCATTTTAGATAGTGTTAACTTTTGTTACTGTAGATTTTTTTCTGTTTCTTTAGAGGCAGAGGCGATGGGGAGAGAGAGACAGAGAGCAGGTGAGCACATGCTTCTGTCTGCTGGTTCGTTCCCCACATGCCCACAGCAGCTGGCATGGGACTGGGCTACAGCCGGGAGCCAGGAACTCAAGATAGGACTCCCACGTGGCTGGCAGAAACCCGACTGCTTGAGCCATCACTGTTGCCTCCCAGGGCGCGCATTAGCAAGAAGCTGGGAGCAGGAGCGGGAGCTGGGTGTCTACTCCAGGCATTCCGATGTGGCCTGTGGTCCTCTCTGCTGGCAGCTTAACTCCAAACACCTGTCCTGAGCTTGACTTTGGAAGGCTTAATCCTGCATATGCAGAATACTCGGGTCAGCTGAGTTAGTATTAGACAAACAGGTGGAGATTAGCTTGTAAATAACCAGGTTGTGTGCAACACCGTATTATTTCTGCCAACCAGTTATTCCTGACAACATTCTTTGGGTCTGTTCATGCCAACAATTAGGTTCTTGGACCAAATGAAGGTCTCTGCGGATGCACAAAGCGGTTTGACAAATCCGGTTTGATATGTATACATGGATGTATGTGTGCTTGCGTGTTACAGCTCTCTCCCAGATAAAAGACTTTGGACAAGCAGTTGTTGGTCTGGGTCCCGAGCAGGGCTGGGGGCATGGTGGAGACCAGCCTGTGGGTTTTGGGATCCCATCCTTCCTGCTGTGCACACCAAACACACTGTCATGTCGTCACCAGTTTTTATTTAGTGCTGTTCTTTTGCTGGTGCCAGTGTTGTGCGGAAGACTCTACCTATGAGTGAAAGCGATGCTTCATTGGGCGCTTCCTTTCAGCCCCCTGGACTTTCCTTCTCACCTTGACAGTATCTCTCTGCTGCGAGTGTTCTGTCTTTTTATGACGTGCCGGGAGCACCGGCCAGGGCACCGCGTCCTACAAAGACTGCCCTGAGTGGGAGCACGCGAGGCCTGAGCCAAGGGCGGTGGGAAGGAAGTATGCTCCTCCCTGACACTCTTCCGTCTTTGCTTATGGCCTCTCCTGTTTCCGTCCTTTGAAATGTTTTCTTAGGAATGTGCAGGAGTGGATTATTTAGATGGTAGCGGTTAGGTCATAGCAATGAAGTACTGACAGGACATGGATAATAGTAAGACACAAACACATGGCTTAAAAAGAGCAGAAACCAAAGAGAATTGAACTCTCCTGTTTTTAAACCCAAGACCCCAAGTACTCTCTGTTGCCTTAGCTGTCCCTTGGAACTGTACTGGGATGGTCGATGTTCTTTCTCTGCGAGTAATTCAGTTGGTCTCTTTGGTAAGCAGTTGCCTGTGGAGTACTGCCGATGCGGTGTGTTCAGATTTCCAAGTGGAATTGTGACACTCCCTGTTGGGCCAAAGAGGTCAGTTGAGTGGCAAAGCGGTGGTGTTCCTGATCAGCCAGGTATATGACGAGTGGTGGCCGGACGCCGCCTGCGGGCCGGCCCAGCAGTTGGGGGGAGCAGGGTGAGTACCGATGCCTTTTTCTTAGACCATGAATGGGGCCTCTGTGCCACCTGACGTTAAGGTGGCGTTCTGTGGGCATGCTGGTGTTCCTTCCTCTGTGCTGGGATTCGGGCCAAGAATCCAGGTCAGCCCCGTGCTCACAAGTGTCTGTCACCAGCAGAGTGCCAGGTTCTGTCTGCCATCCCTCCTTGGTCACGATAGGGAGGGCGTCCGGAGGCTCGGACCCAGCCAGGGTGGCTGTGCAAGCAGTGGGCTGGCTGACTGAGAACACTGACCACGGGTCTGTCGCGGGCAGGACAGTGCTAAGACCTGGGAGGACAGACACGAATAAGCCACGGCTCTTGACCTTGAAGAGCTTACAGGCCAGGAAAAGGGCTCGCCGCCCTTGTCTTACCCAGGAGGTCCTTCTCAAAGCCGCCTGTTGTCGTTGGGCACAGCTGGCGCTTTCCAGGCTGGTGGCCTTGCTTCGAGATTCCCCACTGGATGCGTCGCGAACCAGTGTTTCTTTGCATGTGAGCGTCACGTGCTGCGTTTTGTATTTTACCGTGTGATTTTTTTTCTTACTGCTTTTCTTAGTCTTCTCTATTCCACTTCCATGTAATCTGCCTTATTTAAAAAGACCAAGGACCCCCGCCCTTACAGCAAGGGCTGGGGGGGGGGGGCGGTGGGACCAGCGGGAAGAGGAGTCCGGCCAGGGATGCGGGCTCCTGGGCAGAGGGGAGCCCCACCCGTGAACAGCTCTGTAAAACGGTGAGTGAAGTGCTAGGCTGGACTCGGGGTCACTGGGTGTGGCCTTCCTGACGGTGATCAACAGGTGGTTTTCACTTAAGAGTATTTGTTTTCACTTTCATTTATGTAAAGTATCAGTTTGCCTTTTCTTGTGTTGATTTAGGAAATGCACACCCAGCCTCCTCACCTAACCTTTTCTATCCATTCCTATAGAGAAAGTGAATGTAAAAGATGGGGCCATTTTGTAGAGCAGGAGGTGAGCTGAAAGGACTTTTTAGGGTTGGTTGATGACTTCTCAAATGGTTGTCAGCGTTTCTGGTAAAGAAAAGGAAAATGTGATTTGAACTATTGTGTCTTTTTTTTTTTTTTCTAATAAAAAAAGATTTAAGACTAGGGCACTTTATAACCGAATCTATGTTACATTCATACCTGTACTTAGTAGTCACTTTAGGGAAAAATGATAATCTGTAGAATGAGTAGCTAGGTTCTGTTATGACTGCTGCTCTCTGTGTTGAAAAGGTTGTGTTGAGTCTCCAGTTTCCAGTGTGGCTTAAACATGTGCACATTGTCATACGATTCATTTAACTGCAGCGACGCCCAGGAGAGCACTCTCTGTAGCAGCAGTCACTCTTTGTATAGCTCTAGGACTGTGGAGGAAAAGCTCTTCAAATAAAATACTTCTCAACCCGTCCTTGTCGTCTGCAAGGTGCTCTGTACCAGCTGTGAGCTCGGGGCTGCGCCAGAGCTGGAGGGACTTGGGGACGTCCGTGACACGTCCCTGCCAGTGAGGGAGCTTGGAGCCCCAGGGGACGCTGCGCTGACACTTCTGAGCCAGCTGGGGCCAGGGGTGGCAGGACTTGCGAGGAGGATGCACCAAACCCAGCAGCACAGGGCCGGTGGGGGCCGGGGTGGGGACGACTGGCGGAGTCCGCGGCATCCCCGGGTCCTCCTCTAGCCCCGTGGTGTGGTGTGCGACTCCTGCGAATTCTGGATTCGGTCTGAGCCCGCAGCTCAGCGTTCGTGGCCCGCAATGATCTGTTCCTCTCCATGTTTGACAGGCATCCTTCCTTCATCCTCCGTGAGGAAGCCTGGACGTCTCGTTAGGGGCTGACGAATCCCAGTGTTCGCGGGCTATAAGCATGGCCTTGGCAGCAAACCCCCGAGAAAGCCCGGGGAGGTGCAGGTGGACGTGAGCTGGGGCAACTACAGGCGCTGCAGGCACGGATGCTGTGGAGCCCAGGCTCTGGAGCTCAGTGCCCGCATTTCTGAGGGCTCCGGGCTGCAGGCGGCCGGCCCTGCCCTCCACGCTCAGCATGATGGTGCCAGTCTCTCCCTCTGGGAAAACTGCCACAGTGCAGGTGCATATTCCCCAGGGCAGGGGGGGGTGGGAGGAGTCTGAGCAGAGGATCTGGCTCCTGTAGTTCTGCAAGGCCCAGGTGCTCTGTCTCTTCTGCTGTCTTCAAGGGTTAGGAAGCGTGTGCTTCCAAGTCTGCTGTTTGTACCTGCATAGCCGTGGTCAGCCAGCTGACTTCCCTGGCCCGTGCTTCTCCCTCTGTGAAGTAGGCTTAGGTAATGATGCCGGCCCCTCTACAGGGCTGTTGGAAGCACTGTGTGCAAGGGTCCCTGGGAAGTGCACTGAATGGCACCCAGCCCGCAGCCAGCACACAGACAGCGTCAGCTGTTAGTACCAGAGCTTGGTAACCTTCACGTGGGCCAGCCTGGCTGGAAACTTATGCACTTCTTTTAAGTGTGTAGTCATTTTTTTAAAAAAGTGCTTTTTAAAAATTTCATTGATTTGAGAGAGGTGGTGGTGGGGAATCTTCCATCCATTGGCTCTCAAATGCCCATAACGTCCAGAGCTGGATAAGGTCAAACACGAAAGCCTGAAGCTCCATCTGAGTTTCTCACATGGTTGTCAGGGACCCAAGTACTTGAACTGTCACCAGCTACTTCCCAGGATGTATTAGCATGAAGCGGAGCAGCTGGGACTTGAACCAGGCACTCTGATACAGGATGTGGGCCTCCCAAGTATGATTCACCTGCCCATGTGTTTCTGTTTTGTTGTTTGAAAGGCAAAGACAGAGATGGACGCAGAGAGATCTCCTTCTACTGATTTACTTCCCAAGTGCCCACAGCAGCCAAAGTCAAGAGACAAGAATTCAGTCTGCATCTCTCAAGTGAGCGACAGAATTCCAAGCACGGGAACCGTCACTTGCTGCCTTCCACGATCTATATTAGCAGGAAGCTGGAGTCAGGAGCAGCACTGGGACTCAAACCCAGGCACTGCGGTATGGGCCACAGTGTCCCGAGTGCGGCCTTAACTGCTCTGCCAGGTGCCTGCGCTCCTGCCTTTCTTAGTGTGCTTGCTGAAGCCACTGAAAGGTGGCAGACCCACTTGAGTGTGGGGTAGGAGAACGCTGCCTCTCCTATCGTCGCCTTGATGTATCTGCTGGGAAGCTCAGCTTTGTATACTGACAACACCCCAGCCCCAGTATCACACCCGTATCACAGCTCTGATTGAACCAGCCCTAGGCAAGTGTCCACCTGCAGGTAACTGCTGTGGCCAGGGCAGACGGGGGGGCGGCTCCTGCTGAGCCGTGCAGAATGAACACCCTGCTGACATCGGGCTTCCTGTTTACCAAAGCCAGGGGTGGGGACCCTTGAAGCTCCTGAAGATCACTGACAGCCTGGGCGTGAAGCAGAGCCACACTCGTGCAGCCTGCAGGACAGAGGACACCACTGGGACAGTTGCGGTGTTGTCCCCGAAGGGGGACGCCAGGTTTTCTGGGGCCCAGGCTGGGTGATTTTAAGGCAGCTCTTGAGACAGGTGGAGTTTGTGATGCAAGACCCTTGTGGGCACCGTGCAGGGCGAGTGTAGAAGTGAGATGATGAATAAGCTGTTTGTGTGCTTGTCAGCTACTTACTTGGTTCTTATTGTTAGGGAAGATAACCCTAGGAAAATGTTTTTTTCCAAGCTACAGGTGTATCTCTCCCAGGGCTCACATCCTTGCTTTATAGACCGATTCTTAGGAGGTTGGCACATTTCTGCATTTTATCAATGGCAGACAAAGTATTTTATTCATTGTTTTATCACCTATGTCAGGGAAGATAATTATTTTAATTTACTTGAAGAGAGAGAGCGAGCGAGCTTTGATTTGCTGGTTCATTTCCCAAATGCTCACATATCAGCCAAGACTGGGCAGGTTGAAGCCAGGAGCCAGTAAGTCAATCCAAGTCTCCCAAGTTGGTGCCAGGGACCTAAATTCTTGAGCTATCACCTGCTGCCTCCCAGGGTATGCATTAGCAGGACGCTGGATTGGAAGTGGAGTAGCTGGGGCTTGAAGCCTGGCACTCTCATATGCAGTGTGGGCATCCCAAGCCATGATTCACTGTGCTTCACACACCTGCCCCCTGATTTTTAAAACTTATTTTCATTTTATTTGAAAGTCATAAAGAGAGAAGTAGCTCAGGTCTATGGTTCACTCCCCAAGTACCCACAACACCCAGAATTGGGCCAGGCCAAAGCCAGGAATTCTGTCTGGGTTTCCCTCATGGCTGGTAGGAACCGAAGTTCTTGAGCCATCACCTGCTGCCTCCCAGCATGCACTTTAGCAGAAAGCTGGAACTGGGAGGGGAGCTGGGACTTGAACCCAGGTGCTTAGATAATGACACGTGGAGATTCCAATCAGTGTCTCCACTGTGCCAAACACCTGCCCTACCACCAGAATTTGAATGCCAAAGGAAAAGAGAGAGGAACAAGCAGGGGCTGTTGCTGCCAGAAAGTGTGTTGGGTCTATGACCAATGACCAGCTTCTGGCTTGTGGTCTGACCCCTCTGGCCTCTGCAGAAGCAGCGGAGATGACCCCACCCACATCACTCTGAGCTCTGGAGGGTCTGAGGTGGTGCCTTGTACAAGCACAAGAAACAGATGCCAGTGTCCTAGAAAGAGCCACCATTGCCCGTGGCTTGTGGCAAGAGGCAGTTCTCCTCACCAAGCCCACTGTGCATGAGTGGGCTCGTCTGCTGACTTTGCTTCCCCCACGTTTCTGCAATTGAAGCGATATGGTTTTGAAAGTCAAGGGCTGTCGTCAAAGTTCTACAGGCAGCAGATATGCATTATCTCACAGCCCCGGGGGCTGGCAGGGCTGCTCCCTCTGAAATGTGCAGGGGACCCTCCTGTCTTCCAGCATCTGGTGGTTTGCTGTTAGCTCGGCCTCCATGGCTTGCAGTGCGTGGATCTCTGCCTTCGTGGCTACGTGGATCTCTGCCTAAGAGTCACCTCTCCCCACTGCCATCTCTCAAGGGCAGCAGTCACAATGGATTGGGGGCCCAGCCCCTTGCTTGGAGTGTGACCAGGTGTGTGACCCAGCTAATTCTGCCACAGCTCTACTTCCCTATAAGGCCATTTTCTGAGGGCCTTGTGAGGAGGGCTCCAACATAGCCTTCTTGGTGGAGACACCCTTCAGCCTGCAACAGGGACCAAGTCTTCTTCCAGTTAATCTTGCACACGTGTGTTTTCTACATATGCCAATCATTGCAAAGGGGAGCATTGTGTGAGGCGAGGCCTCCTTTGTGTTACAGATCTTGCCGGCTCCCTGGGAGTTTGCTTTGAAGAACTACGAAGAGTCCAAAAGGACAGGGTGAGTGAGTCCTGGACTATTAGCACACTTTGTGATTGCAAACCGGTTTAAAAACAAGGTGTTCTGGCTGAGTACTGGTGTTAGCAGGTGCACATGTCAATAAGTGGTGCTTGTGAACCCACGGCATTAGTGCTCAGTGCCCCACATGGGCCAGCTGCTGCCACCCTGAGTACCTGGAAGGTGCCCATCAGTCAGATGGGAACAGATCCTGAGTGTAACTAATTATTTAGAAAAGGAAAAATAACTGAAAAGATATTTATCTTAAAAGGAAATCAAAGGTTTCCTATGTCAGCTCTCAAAATTGGAAACTCAAGGATAATCTTTTCAGTGCTCTGTCACTGGGGCTAAAGAATTCTAACCAACTTTAGGCCCTTTGCCGTCAGCTCCAAGTGGAAGTTAAAGGGACAGGTGGTGTGGTGCAGTGCATTACGCTGCTGCTTGGGATGCCAGCATCACATCTCAGAACGCCTGCTGCCGAGCCCAGCCTCCATTTCCCAGTAGCTCCCTGATTGCACACAGGAGGCAGCAGGTGATGACCCGGGTTCTTGAGCCCCTGCACCCACCTGGGAGACCAAGTGCAGCTCCTGGTTCCTGGCTTTGGCCTGGCCTAACTCCAGCCGTTGCTGCCATTGGGGGAGTGAACCAGAAGACGGAAGATCTCTTTCTCTCTCTCTTTCCCTCACTCTCCTCCTCCTCCTCTCTTCTTCCCTCCTTCCCCCTCCTTCTCCCTCTGTCACTCTATCTTTCAAATAAGAAAATCAATAACAAAGAAATTGAAGCAGTGAGCTTCCTAACTGTCCGGCTGCAGCTGGGTGCTCACCCCTAGGACGGGGAACAGCACCTTCACAGAAAGTCTCCCCAGGTGAGCGAGTCTCCAGAGCAAAGCCGAGTTGGCCGTGGGGTCAGGCAGTGCTGTCCCCATGCTGGAATCCTCAGACACCCGGGCCTTCTGAATCCCTGAGTTGTCCTGAGCCTCCTCGGCTGGGCGGACCCTTGTGGGACAAGGGAGATCCCAAAGGGCCTGCTGCGGTCCTGTTGTAAGGCAGGCATG